CAGTGTGGTGTTTACCAGCAGGGGCGGGGGGAGTGGGGTAAGAAAGGGCGGGCACGTACACGAAGGCCATGGGACTCATTAGATGAGCCTGTAAAACCGGCATCCCTCTGCGGGGGAGGGAGACCGAGAACCCAGGGGACTCAGGAGAATCAGAACCAACCTCTGGGCACCGAGACGACATTCAGAAACGGGGAAGACACTTCCGTGGCCCTGCCGTCACCATGGTATCTGGTCGTTTTGTGTCCCAGCCCCTGGGCGAGGCAGAGCCCCATTGTACAGAAGGGCACTGAGGTGCACAGACTCCCCGAGGTATTTTGGCACCTTGTGGGATTTTCAAGAGAACCTTGGAAGATTTGCCTGGCTACATCTTAGGGTGTCTAAACTCCTTTGAAGCTCTGTCCCCAAGGCACTGACTTGCAGTCACGCCGGCAGCCTGGGGGGGAGGGGAGCAAGGGGTGGGGGATTCACTCCCCATCCACCGGACCAGCCTCTCTCTGCTGCAGGCTGCAGAAAAGAGGACTCAGAGATGGGGGCAAAACCAAGCCGACCAGTTCTCTGAGCCGCCAGCGCTTGGCCCCAAGAAGTTGGGAAGGGCGTCGTGGTTGGCAGCATGAAAAGCAGCCCAGAGACCAGGAAGGATCAAGGAAGAGACACAGACAGATGAGAGGAGAGCGCTTAACCCCGCAATGGGGGGCAGTTCTGCCCCAGGCTCGGCGGTACAACAATGCCGGCTCTGCCGTCTTAGACTGCAACAGAGGCAATCGTTTTGTTTTGCCACTTTTTTGTGGCGTGTTTCGGCAAGGGGAAACATGGGCAAGAGCCGTCTGATGTGCTTATGCCTCGAATTCTTCTGGCTTCCGCTGCACCCTGGCCAATTCCAGCCCACAGAACAGAAATTGCCTCCACAGAGCTGACGATTAGTGTCATGATTGGTGTTACTCCCTGGGTACCAGGTGGTGAAAATGCCAGGCAGTGTGGTCCCGGAGGCGGTGCACCCAAGCCGTGGAACGCTGGGAGAAGGTGCTGGTTGGTGCATGCGAGGCAGCCGCGGTGCGGTGTCTGTGTGTGGAAGTGTCAGAGCGCCCCCTAGCTGTGGATGGCAATCTTGGAGCAGAAGACCGGCACTGTCGTGGCACTGGGGTGAGTGCCGGGCAAACCCCTGGCAAAAACGTCACTTCTTGCTCTAAGGAGCTTGAGGAGTTCTCCCTCCCCAGTATTTTAGAACAGCATTAGGAAGTGGTGGGTTGGTTGTTCTGAATCCGCATCACTTCCACCCTGTAGCTGTGTTGGCGCAGAGGGACGCGGTCTGTATGCAGCACCGGCTTGGGGAAAGCTGCACTCCTGTGAAGAGGGCATGACCCGAGATCTGGCTTCTCATGCAGGTTGGCCACAGACTTCTTGCACCAGGCCAGGTGAGTCACTGGGCCTTGGTTTCCTGCTCTTTACAGCGAGGTTATAACAGGCTGAACCTCTCTAGTCGAGCACACACTGGTCTGGCAACACCCGTGATCCGGCATGATTATAGTTAGCTGGATGGCCAATTTTCAAGGGTGCAGCCAAGTTTCCCACAATCCCATAAAGTTTTACAGCCCCCAGTCCTGGCCCTCAGTGTTCTGTGCTGTTGTTTAGATCTAATTTACCCCTAATGTCTTCTCAGAGCCCAGTAAGCAGGGGAAGTGTTGGCAATACTGCTAGACGTTATTGACCTCTCGTGGTTCAGCACATTCTGTGGTGCCGGACTAGAGAGGTTCAAGCTGTACGCCACTCCCAGGGTGGTTGCGAGGCACATTTCAGTCACCTTTGTATTGAGGTGTTGGAGACAGAAGATGCAATGGATCTAGGTCCGTCGAGGAACAAAGCACCTGCTGCACTTGCAAGACTGGCCATCCTGTGGGCCTGACACTTGCTATGTCCACTTTACCGTCCTGGGTTCGATTCCCCATGGTTCTATCCCACCTGCAGGTGGCCTTTGCTCTGCCTGGCGCACATTTCCACCCGCTTGGTATGCATGGTCCTGTGCGCTGTGTAGCATAAAGCCATCCTGACTCCTGTGTCAGGGCCTAGCCCGATCCCCAGCTGAGCACAGGAGATGGCTTCTTCCAGCTCTGCCCTCTGTGGGGTATGCTGTGCCCAATTAGTCGCATTCCACCAAGTTCCCTGCCTGGGAACATCTGGGATTTCTGGCCGCTGTCAAAGCCAGCAGGTGTATATTGGCCATTCCAGGACGGCCGATTCTCATGGATGATACTTGGCAATCCAAGGCTACGTCTAGACTGGCATGATTTTCCGGAAATGCTTTTAACGGAAAAGTTTTCTGTTAAAAGCATTTTCGGAACAGAGTGTCTAGATTGGCATGGACGCTTTTCCGCAAAAACTGCTTTTGCGGAAAAGCGTCCATGCCAATCTAGATGCGCTTTTCCGCAAAAAAGCCCTGATCGCCATTTTCGCGATCGGGGCTTTTTTGCGGAAAACAAATCTGAGCTGTCTACACTGGCCCTTTTGCGCAAAAGGACTTTTGCATGAACGGGAGCAGCATAGTATTTCCGCAAGAACACTGACAATCTTACATGAGATTGTCAGTGCTTTTGTGGAAATTCAAGCGGCCAGTGTAGACAGCTGGCAAGCTTTTCCAGAAAAGCGGCTGATTTTCTGGAAAAACTGGCCAGTCTAGACAGAGCCCAAGTGTTTGATATTCACAAGGCACTGCCCCAGTGTTAATTATGGCTCTCAGCGTGCACGGGAATTAAATTAGCCCCCTTGCTCCAGATTGGAGAGGGCGAGGCAACTTTTCCAGAGTGGTGTGGCGAATTAGTGGCAGAATCTACAAAGGATGGGTCGAATGCCCCAATCCACAGGGAACAGTCCCCCAAAACACACTGTAACCAAGAGCCCTACTGCTACTCAACAGCCGCATGGCCGGTGCAAGTCACCTAGCCGCTGACCGAAGTCGCTCGGCGTTGCTGAACGGTTTACCGGAAAGCTGCGGAAACAGGCTTTAATGACATCTCTTCCCACCAGCTGACGTGTGAGGGAGAACTTACCACAGCAAATGCGATGCTGGCGAGCGCAGTCAGACAGAAGGAGACCTTGGTGGCTTCTGTAAATGCCCTAGTCTTGTCGACGTACAGCCCCAGCAGGAAAGCGCCAAGTAGCCCAAACACAGTGAACAGCGCCCCATTCAGGCCTGCGAAGAACTACGGAGGAAGAGACATGAGCGTCTGAGCAGCGAGAATTAGGAGATGTGGTTGCCTCATCTCAAAAAAAAATATACTGACATTGGAAAAGGTTCAGAAAAGGCAACAAAAATGAGGAGGGGTTTGGAACGGGTCCCATATGAAGAGAGATTAAAAAGACTCGGACTCTTCACCTTACAAAAGAGGAGACTAAGGGGGGGGGGGTGATAGAGGTCTATAAAATCATGAGCGGTGTGGCGAAAGTGAATAAGGAAAAGTTATTTACTTATTCCCACAATATAAGAACTAGGGGTCACCAAATGAAATTAATAGGCTGCAGGTTCAAAACAAACAAAAGGAAGCTTTTCTTCACTCAGTGCACAGTCAACCTGTGGAACTCCTTGCCAGAGGATGTGATGAAGACTAGGATTTTAACAGGGTTCAAAAAAGAGCTAGATAGATTCATGGAGGTTAGGTCCATCAACGGCTGTTAGCCAGGATGGGTAGGAATGGTGTCCCCAGCCTCTGTTTGTCTGGAAATGGGTGACAGGAGAAGGATCACGTGATGATTCCCTGTTGTTTTCTCTCCCTCTGGGGTACCTGGCTTTGGCCACTGTGGGCAGACAGGACACTGGGCTAGATGGACCTTTAGTCTGACCCAGTCTGGCGGTTCTCATGGGTTTGTGTTACAATCCCGATATTTAATTATACGGACAGGTTTATGGGCACAAGGCTGTAGGCCCCCCTAGTCTACTTCACATGTGTTCCCACTGGTGCCATCACAAGATTCAAAACCTCCCCAGGACGCGCAGCTAGAACAACAAGCAACCGGCCTGGTTGGTATCAATCCCAAAGGAAGAGCTCAGTTCCCATGGAGACGGGTTAGTATAAGGACCATATGCAGATAAAAACTGATGGGGAAGTGCCTCCATGCTGGTCTTCTGGCCAATTTTAATGTGGTACAGGCCAAACCTCTCTAGTCCGGCACTCTTAGGACCTGACCGGTTCCAAACCAGATTTGCTGAACCACGGAAGGTCAAGATTGCCTTGCAGCATTATCAACACTTCCACTGCTTGCTGGGCTCTGAGAAGACATTTGAGGTAAATTAGAGTTAAATAACAGCCCAGAACACTGAGAGCCAGGACTGGGGGCTGTAAACAAACTTTATGGGACCCTGGGAAACTTGGCCACGCCCATGAAAAGTGGACATCTGGCTAACTCAAATCATGGCTGACAACGGATGTTTCTGGACCAGAGAGTTCTGGACTAGAGAGGTTCAAGCTGCATACACGGAATGGTAGAGCTTGGTTTTCCGCAGAGCAGTCTTAAGCAGTCCCCACGTTTCATTGCTTTCTACGAGAACGGGGTAGGAGGCTCTCAAAGCGGTGGCCATGTACTCCAAAGGGTAGCAACCTCTCTTAGATATTACTCTGTTTCTAACAGAGAGCAATGTGAAAGGCCAATTTTCATGACTCCCGAGGAGCAGAGATTCCCGTGCATACAGTGGTCCCTTGCGTTCGATGCGTTCCTCACCCTTATCTCCCTTCTGATTTTCCTCATCTCGTTCCTCTTGAGCTTTCTCAGGACTTGCCTAGCCCTGCGAAACGTTGCTGTTTGTTCTGCTTCTGGCCACCCCAGCCAGCGGGGCCCAGCATGGCCTGCTGCGCACAGTCCCCCCAACTACCCTTGGAATGAGCCTGAGGTTGAGGGAGGCGAATTCCTCCTCCCGTTGCCCGGGGATCACCAACTGCTTTGGAGGGAGCATTCGGAGCGTCGCCTGCTGCGGTGGAGGCCACCTGCCACCCAAACTGAAGTGCTAGAGGCTGATGCAAGGGTGAGCCACAAGATGGAGCCACAAGGGAGCTGTTTGGTAGAGAGAGGAGAATAAATGTACCCAAGAGGGCCTCCCCTACTCCTGTGAATTTGGCTAAGGACGCGCATGGCGATAAAATAACCCAGGCCCCCTGCTTTGAGTTTCCAGTTCCCTCTCACTTCGGTCTGAGCTTTTGCCCCATATTTCCATGTTGGCAGAGATGCATAAGGAGCTGCATTTAGCCCCTATGCGGTATTTAAAGCCTTTATTTTACAAAGTAAAATCTCAGCAGGAGAATTTACAAGTGGCGACCCAGCCAAGGATCCCAATTAAAATTCAGAGATTGTATTGAAAGCTGACGAGGTATTAGACTAGTCATGAGCCTCTCTCAGGTCCTAATGAACTAATTTAGACAAGCAAGTGGCTTCATCTTGTTTTGAACACTAATGAGTGGAGGTTCATTTCAAGTGTAGAACACCTAACGTGGTGCATGCAAAAAGGCCTTACGTTCGAGTACCCCATCACACACAGGATCTGCTCCAGAAGAGCTGAAAAGCAGGTGAACATCCCAATCCCGGCTCCGAAACTGACCATCAGGATGACGTACGATTTGTTTCTCACTAGCTGCAAAGTTAAGAGCGTAGGTTAAAAAAGAAAAAGGATTGAGTGACTTGAGCACCCTCGCAGCTGCTGAGCTGACCACAACAGGAGGGTCAGCGAGGGTGACATCAAAGAGGGTGTCATGTACAGTTGGTCCTGCCTCGGCACAGGATCCTGGATGTGGTGACCTCTCAAGGTCGCTTCCCGCCTGCCCGTCCTAGGATTCTACGGTTGACTCTGGGGTTTGCCTCTCTGCCCGGCACGACACTTACCATTTTCAAGCCTGTGAAAAATGGCTGCGATGTGGAATGAGTGGCGCTGGCCGATGGCGGAGTTGGAGGGATCTTCTCCCGCACCCCAACCGTTGCTAGAACGCAGGCGGTCACAGCAGGGATGGTGTACACACCGAGCTAGGAAACCCCAAGCAAAGACACATCACCAAGTTGCCCAACTCCAATGCAACTGAATGGATAAACCCAAGTGACCCTGCCTGCTCATTCACTTACCATCAGTGGGATGTCTTTTTCTTCCGACACGAGTGCAGGGGACAGCAAGTTAGCGACGAGAATTCCCAAGGGATTAGCTAGATGGAAATACAAAAAAGAAGGCTTTTTCTACATTCCGTTGAGAGAACGTTAGACGGGGGGCAGGACTTGATGGCTTCGCGAGGTCCCTTCCCGTTCTCGTGTTCTGTGATTTATCAAGATGTCACGAGACATCTATTTCCCAGCATCCTCAGCTTAAGTGAAGGCCTGGCTGGGGAGGACCAGAAACAAGACATCTGTAAGGGCAGTTTTGGAGGATTATGACTTGCAAGAGTAAGTGTCTGACTCTGGATATTTTACCTGGAGTGCACGAAGGGCATAAGACTAGATGGGATCTCCTGGATCATTAAATCCAGTCCCCTGTTACTGCTAACAATCTCATTATACCAACTGGTTCATAAACTTATCCGGCTTTCCCTCTTAAAGCTGGTTGAGGTGTTTGCTCTCTCCAGAACCTCCCTCTCCTGATGGTTAGAAACCTCCCTCTCATTTCCAGACTACTCCTGGCTGCTTCCCCCCAGCTGCTATTGATACTACCTTAACTTCTTGCTTTAATAATCTGCCCCCAAGCCTGGTAAAAAACAGATCCACCCTGGTCTTTGGCTAATTCTTCATCCTGTCTCACCAAGTTGCCCCAATAAATGACTTACAGAAGGAACAAAAAAGGAGGAGTAACTCTAGATGTCAGAGTGTATCACGCTATCCACCCCCAGGTATACCTAAGCTGGGCAGAACAGCCTCGTGTGTACTTTGTGAAAGTAAAGTACGCCGCATCTCATCACTAGCTTACAAACGTAGTATGACATAATGGCTCTGCAGCCACTGCCTAACCTCTAGTAGAACTGGAGGACGCGCTTTCATCTCACTGTTGTCATGCTGCTACCCAACTCCACAGCTAGCAGGGTTAAGAACCAGATCAGATCGAGTTTTGCACTGCAAATGTTAACAAGCCATAGCCGCCTGTACACACCTTGCAGCTCAGACAAGCAATCCAGGCCCCAGCTCAGACCCTTCCAATTTTTTTTCATGACTACGGAGGATTCTGTTTAGACTGGTACATTAGGGCTAACGCTGGCTCTCCAGAAGTAGCAGGTGTTGGGCAGAAATGTCTCAGGCCATATTCTGGGGAGCCTGCTTCCTGTTCTCCTGCTTACCAGCAATGATCAACACCGACATCTAACAACTCCACCCTTGGAGTTTATTTTTCAGACGATCCCAAAGCAGCTTTCCATGACTTGCTCTTAAGAGTAACAAGGGCTTGTCCCCCACAAGCTGGTATCCCACCTCTTAAAGATACTCAAAGATTTTAAGGAATGTTGACGGGTAGCAGCTAAACAATCGACGTTCATTGCAGTGCCTACCTTTCCAGTGCTTGTTTATTCCGCAGAGACTAGCAGGCATGCTTTTGATTTTAACAAGCGGTTGCCTGCGAAGGTGATCACTGTTGTGACAGTCTAGGCCTTGGGAGAGTGGCCTGTCCCGCCCGCATTGCTCCTTGGTCTGTCAGTGTGATATTGCACATAAAGCAGGTTGTGTGATGGTGGTGTGGGAACGGTTATGCTCTGCTGAAGCTCTGGTTAATGCATATGAGGTTATGAGAATGTGTTTTAAGGGTTGTCACTAAAATACGCTGGGAGTGGGGGGAATGCCTGATACTAGATCTCCAGAGACAAGGGAGCAAACCAAAGCCCGGGCGGGTGTCAAATAACCCTCCACAGCCCTTTTCCCGCAAGGGAGTTACAATTCAGTGACTCATCGGCGTGCCAAGGGAATTGCTCCACCATGCCTGGGGACTCAGCAGTGCCACTCTCCCAGACGTGCCTGGACTTGTGTTCTCCAAACACCTGGACTTGGCCTTTTTGCCTCCCTCTACTTACTCCACAAGCAACAAGAACGCCCAGAAGACTGACAGTAGGATTGCCAGGTGTCTGGTTTTGAACTGGACAGTCCAGTATTTGAGCTTTCTGTTCGGGAAACAAATTGAGAAAAGAGAAATGTCCGGTATTTTCTAACTAAGATGTACTGTAGATTTGTGATGTCATGTCAAGTGTGTCCGGTATTTTTGTTGAAACCATCTGGCCACCCTACTGACAGCTCCAATGGAGGAGGCTGGCCTACGTTTCAGGGGCGAAGCCTGAGGACTCTTATAGAATCACAGAATACTAGATTGGAAGGGACCTCGAAAGGGCATAAAGACCAGTCCCCGGTGAACCGTAACATCCAGTTGGGTGGGAAAACTGCTCTCATACCGCCTAATGTCTGACGGGGTTAGGATTTCGCCTGTGAGCTTGTGGCGCTGTGTCTGGCGACTCTCTCGTGTTTGTAGCTCTGACTTACACATTGAAGAGATCATATTTGCCGTAGCTCTCTGGTGGTCTGGGAACCACAGGGCCGCCAGTTTTGTGGGAGAAAAGATGACGAGCGGCTGTGCCAGTGCGCAGAGGCACTGCCCCATGAACAGGTATGCGTGGGTCAGGGCGCCCAGGTTCAAGAAGCGGACGACGCTGAAAGCCCGGACGATGCTGCCGACCATGTTCAGCCAGGCGCTGAGGATCACCTGCAAGAAGCGAGCAGGGACAGGAGTCACTTGCTGACAGGAGACCGGCGGGAGACGATGACGAGCGGCTGTGCCAGTGCGCAGAGGCACTGCCCCATGAACAGGTATGCGTGGGTCAGGGCGCCCAGGTTCAAGAAGCGGACGACGCTGAAAGCCCGGACGATGCTGCCGACCATGTTCAGCCAGGCGCTGAGGATCACCTGCAAGAAGCGAGCAGGGACAGGAGTCACTTGCTGACAGGAGACCGGCGGGAGACAGAATTAAGTTCCAGGCTGTGGCTTGACTCTAGGCAAGCCGTGATGAACCGCCTCTGCGAAACCGCATGGGCCTCACCGTGTTATCTACTGACGCAGGCCACAAGTCAGTTGCTGCAGGACATTTCTGGTCCTGGAAATCTGTCACTTTCCATCTCCGAGACGTGGCGAGGTATCCGTGGAGGGTCGTGACCAGCTAAAGGAGTCCTCTTTTGCCAGGTATGCTACTGCGTTCCCACCAGTGTTGCCATGTGAGACCAGCCACAACCCTGCTCTCAATGCTGAGAGCTCCCTTCAGATCCCTTCCGTGGCTGGGACCGTGCTACTGGTTCCACCTTGGGGGTTATATTCCGTCCCTGCAGGTGCATTTGGGCTGCGTCGGCATCCGCAGGGCCCGGCTCAGCAGAGAGCCCCAACCATCCCACGTGAGCTGGGAAACGTCATGGTGGTGTCGTGACTTATCCTCCCACCCCTTTGCCCCTGGCCTGACAACTCTGTACAGTAAATCCCCAGAGTCTCCTCTCCTCCCACCTCGCTGCTCTTTGGGCTGGCCTGCCGCCAGGGTCGATTCCTTACCTACTCGCTCTGCCCCAGAGAGGAGGCGGAGGTCACGCCCACAGAGCTCTGAATGCTCCGGGGACAAATGGTATTGGAAGGAGTCCCAGGGGAGAAAGAGGGGGTCCCTTCCCTCGCCGTTGGAAATGCTGGTTTTATTTTCCATGCACCTCACCCGGGCCATCACCTCACTGGGGCTTGCATAAGTTGAAAGAGGCACTGGTGTCTGGTGAGGTTCAGGTACTGCAAAGCCACCTTTTCTCACATGACAAAGTGTAGTCTTGGCGCGTGCTTTGCTTGTGGTTTTCCTACTTCATTTCTTGGAGCAGATTCTATTCCCCCGACGGCAGGAAGGACACGTTTAAAGACTCACCTGGTATTTAGTCAAAACAACAAGGAGTCCGGTGGCTCCTTAAAGAGTAGCAATTTTAGTACGGCGCGTGCTTTCGTCAGTTGCAGCCCACTTGGTCAGATGCGTGAAGTGAGTGGCAACTCACCGAAGCTTGTGCTGTAATAAAATTGTTCGTCTTTAAGGTGCTACCAGATTCCTTGTTTTTTTGCTGGAACAGACGAGCACGGCTCCCTTTCTGAAACACTTAGGCTGCGTCTACACTGGCAAGCTTTCTGCAAAAGCAGCTGCTTTTACGGAAAAACTTGCCAGCTGTCTATACTGGCCGCTTGAATTTCCGCAAGAACACTGACGATCTCATATAAGAAATCAGTGCTTCTTGCGGAAATACTATGCTGCTCCCGTAGGGGCAAAAATCACTTTTATGCAAAGCTTTTGCATGAAAGGGCCAGTGTAGACAGCTCAGATTTGTTTTGTGCAAAAAGCCCTGATCGCAAAAATGGCAATCAGGGCTTTTTTGCGCAAAAGCGCGTCTAGATTGGCATGGACGCGTTTCCGCAAAAAGTGCTCTTGTAGAAAAGTGTCCATGGCAATCTAGAAGCTCTTTTCTGCAAATGCTTTTAATGGAAAACTTTTCCGTTAAAAGCATTTGCGGAAAATCATGCCAGTCTAGACGTAGCCTTAGAGTGTCACAACTTGGACTGCTACCTGTATTCAAAGTATTTGTTAGCACAGGTGACGCGTGCATATACAAAAATACACAATAACCCCAACCTTAGTTAGTTCATGCAGCTTCCCATTTAAACTTACGGCACACTTGAGTCCCATGCTGTCGAGAACCCACGTTGCCACCAGGCCGAAAGGGATCGATATGAGGAGGTACACCAAGGACAGCCAGTTAATCGTATCCATAGAAATGTGGAAGTAGGCTACAGGTGACGCGTGCATATACAAAAATACACAATAACCCCAACCTTAGTTAGTTCATGCAGCTTCCCATTTAAACTTACGGCACACTTGAGTCCCATGCTGTCGAGAACCCACGTTGCCACCAGGCCGAAAGGGATCGATATGAGGAGGTACACCAAGGACAGCCAGTTAATCGTATCCATAGAAATGTGGAAGTAGGCTGCGGTTT